CCTTTCATATAATTTCTTGAGTTTCAGCATGAACTTTTCTAATTTCTGTGTTGTTGTTGACTTTCAGCTATAGTAGTTCGCCTTCTATACGTATCTTTAGTAATTCTTTGCCAAAGAGTCAGTTTCCCTGTTCCTAGTTATATCTTTTAGCATGTCACGTAAGGTTCCATTGGTATTCATAGTTGGATCCTTCTTTAGTACACGACATGTAATCCTGTCTGGCAGAATACATTCCATCTTCTATGATGCTGGCGAAACGTCTGAGACTGTACCAACTTTATTGTCTGACACTGGAAATTATGGTAACTACTATAGCTGAGAAACTCGGGCATGGTTCGTTTAACTAATTCGCCTTGACAACAAGACCAAGTTGCAAAAATGATGTCAACCCACTTCTATAAATCGAAAGAAGACTGCGACCATACCGAGGGTACAATCCTTACGCAGGTTCTAGCAAATATTTCTTTGTTCACTCATGCTTATGTAATCCCCTGGGCTACCTTCACAAGCAGGCTGTAGGATCTCAGTGTTTGTATGATCAAGAGGAAATACACATACTTTTAAAAAAATGAAACTGTCGCATTAATTACTCTTGCTTTTCATTTCACGACATCTACCAGGTACATGCATCGCAAGGCCAACAGCCCGGGTGTCGACTTTCTGCCCTTTCAGGTGAAGATTTGGAGGCGTTTAGCTGACGGTGCTCGGGAATTGGTGCTTCGTCAGTCGCAGTTTCTGCGCGTTGTTATGGCACAGGGTGCTAGCCTACGGAAACCTGTGCTGCGCGCTTTCCGCTCGGTATATCATGCCTAGTTTTTGGATATTGCTAATAGTTATATTGTCATTAATACATATACTAATCTTAAGTTAATTCTGCTTGAACTAGTTGTATAAGTAAAACCGGTATGTTGTGTATTACTACTCCAAACTCATTAGATTTATACACGACTATATATCGTATATATTTGCTTTAATTACTACTTTTGTTGCTGCTCACGTTGCTTGACTATAATGTTTATTTGTGTAAAAGCTGAAAAATGCCTACCGAACAAGATATGAGGCACCAATAAAAGTACCACCAGAATAGCTTAACTCCAAAACGTTCCGTACACCGCCTTGAATAGACCTAGGTCCGATTTGGAGGCTAGTCTG